TCACTTCCTTACAACTTACTATTTGAAGTGCACACAAAATATAGCTCTGTCTGCCTACCTTTTAATTTTTTTTCAAAATTTCAAATTTCTCTTAAGAAATAATTAAAGTGTCAAGTTGTATAAAACTGTAAAAATTACACCGCGGAAACATATGTTTCATACAGTATATCAGCTGTTTGTAATTCACTCGCCGTACTCTCAATGATGATTACTATATATGGTGAAGTTAAAAAAATCTGTTCTTTGGAGTGTATTGTTCTTCCAGAACAGATTCTGTCAGTTCTCTTCAGTCCTGGATGATACCTGTGGACACCCCTAGCAAGTTTTCTGATTTCTCCTTTGCATCAATAAGGCTTGGTTCACCAGAAAAAGAGACTGCTCAAACCCCGATTTGATTTGCTTAGTTTAGATTTTTTGACCCAAGTTGTTTAGGAAAAATTGACTTTGATTTAGAGGACCCGTATATGAAAGTCTGTGAGGTTTTCAGCAACTCATGAAATTTCACAAGCAGTAGTAGAAATTATGCAGAAAATAGGTTTGTTTTAATAAATTAAAATTGTATTATGAAAATGAGAAAATAAATGTTAACATTAAAAATACTTACATATAATATTTTTTTTCCAGAGAAAATCCAATTGTTGGAAAAGTTTCCTAACCAAAACAAACTGGCACACTTGGATGAAAAAAGAAACTGGAAATGTTATTGAGTGTTTGGGGGTTTTGTTTTGGTTTTGTTTTTTTAATACATTATACGGATTTTTACAAAGTATTTAAGGATGAACATAAATGCTAGTTCTGTTGACAATCTATTTAATATTTAATAGAAAAATACCTACTTGGAAATCTGATCTTAAGGTTTATTCTCATTTTGTTGAAGAACTTGAAGTTCCAGGTTCTTGAAGTAACAGGTGTGAATAAATCTAAATATTGTTTTGCCATTGTTATCTTATTGGAAAGAACTTTTTAAACAAGTAAGCTTTTTTGATGGAAGAAAATCCACATGGAATTTGTTGGTTGAATTACATCTCTCAATACATACACTGCAAAGTTGCATGAGTTTACTGTAAGGGCCTGCCCTGCTGATACGGAGCTTGAAATAGAAATCCCAAGATACTATGACATGGAAGAGATCAGAAGCTTCACACTCAATTAATCTGACTGTTTTCCGTGTATTAGGTGTTGTCAGGACATGATTTATCTACAGCTGAAGTCTTAGAAAATCATGCAGCAGTATGCTGCAAATAATCTGGACAGCAGATACCAGTGTTAGTTAAGTTTTTAAGTACTAAGGAAGAAGAAATCAGGGAACTTGTGTTGTACCTCTTGTTTACATTTGGGGTGAGTAATATATGGAGTGACATTAGACCACTATCTATTTGCTTTAGGGTTTTTTAATTTCTTAATCTAAAAAGAAATGCAGGGTAGCAACATTCTTCTTAAATAAGTTTTCCTACAGATAGAAAAATTTAAATGTGAACAGATTGTGGTTAAGTACTGATCAATTTACATCATCCCATGTATGATTTTGTTTCTTTTTTATATAAAAAGTAATAACTAGGTCCAGCTCACCTTTTGACTACAAATCTAATCAATAATATCTATTATAATCACTCAAAGCACTTTAGATATCTGGACTATCCCAGATTATTTTTAGATACTTTGTAGTATCTGCTTGTTATGATCAGTTGAATGATCAACATTGTTTTGTCTTTAAGCAATGCTTCAGTGAATATTTTTGTATCTTTAGTTATATGGATTCATATTTGCCACTTAACACAATTTTAAACTGGCATCCTTGACTTAAGTTTTTAATTTTTGCTCATTTCATCTGAGAAGTTAGGTTTATGTTGAATATGTATATAATCAGGAAGAAGCAAAGGTATTACTGTGGCAACTTTGCTTCATCAGTATTAAATACAATGGTACTCCTTGGAATATTATTTTTAATAATAACAATATGTGGTACTTTTTATTTTTTGGAGCTTTGCTGTGGGGTCTTTTGTTGTTTTGTTTGGTGTTTTTTTGGGTTTTGGGTGGTTTGTGTGTTTTTTTGTTTTTTTTTTTACAATTGTGATTTGGCCAAATTAATTGGGAATGTAACTTACAAGTAGAATAGAAATCCACAATGCTTGAAACTGTAAACTGTTTAAATTACTATACATTTGTTACACTGTTGTAGGGAGGCTTTCTGTAACAGAAACAAGTTGGCAAGACAGGATTGAAACCTCTTTTGTAATGAATGTAGAGAGTAACTATTTGGTTTAATACCAGACAAACTATTTTAGATTATCTGGGATTCAGTACTAGTGTCTGCATAATCACAGTCATTTAACCACCTCATCTGGTTTTACCTTTTCTTTTTTGACACATCTGATGTATTCTAAGAGACTTTTGCCAACAGTTGAAATTGGGGATAGGGGGAAAATATAGTAATGCCAAGAAATGTGTTTTGCCAAAGTAAAGTGGGTCTGATGAATTGCCATTAACAAAAAGCTGCCATTAAACAAAGTTGAATGTGATTGAGTGTCAAAGGTAGGTTTTGCTGTATATGAATTAACTCTGTGGCAAAGTGTCTGTTCCTTGGAGCCATTTTCTGTTGTTTTCAGAGTCAAAGTTATGAAAAATTAAATTGTATACTTTTTTTTAAATATGCACTTTTTTGCTTTGGTACTGGAATATCTAGGAAAAAAACAGAGGCCATTGAATATTTGTGACCATTAAGATTTGATTTGTCATTTTATAATGTTTTAAAATGGAATAGATGTTCTAGAAGTTAATTAGGTACAAGTAGGATGATTAATAATAAAAGTTGCCTTCATTTTGATTAGTCTAGAAAGATGAAGTTACTGAGTAATTAGTTCTGTTACAATTGTAAATTATCATTAGTTTTAATTTGTATTATGATGATGTATTGTTGAATGTATTTTTATTTAAATTTTATTTTCTTATCAAGACATTAAAATGTTTTGTAACATTGCTTCAGAATAACTCACGAATAAATTACAACAAACTTAAGATATGGTATGTGTTTATTGTGAGGCCTGGCTTTTTAAAACAGTAGCATTTATCTGAAGACTGAATAAATAGTGGTTTGCATGCAGGAGTGGGCTATAAAGAGATAAATGTAGTTGACGGGGGAAAAAAAATGAAATTGAGGGATCTTGCATGGTCATCTACAGCATGGTTACATTCTAACTAAGATTGATGGCTGGAGAGAGAAGTGATAGTTAATCATTTAGCATAACTGTGCATAGAAGCCTTAGTAATTTGGCAGTTTTTAGAATGTTTGCAGTGACTAGTCTGATGTATTGAAGGATGACTAGTACTGTGTTATTGCTGTTATACAACTAATATTTTTTCTTACCTACTGATTTGTCTTTCATTACCTGTCCTGTGTACCAGTACCAGTTATATGATTTGTCAGACCTGTTTTAAATATATTGCATATGGAAAAAATAGTCTTTACTTTTTTCCATCTTCTTTCTTTTTGTAATCTGGGCACTTTTTTTTCCACCTGCTCTCCCCTGCTGTGCTTATGGGCATTTTTTATAAGCTAATTCTGTACAAGTGTGTTTTAATGTCTTGAGATACTTTGTTTCCAAAACAGAGGGGCTGACCTGTTGTCCTTTATTGCTGATGTGGAAGTTGAAATGCAAACATTCCAGCCATTTTGGAATTAATTTTTATTTATTCTGAGGTAAGATGTATTATGTGCCAGTCTGAGTGGTCATTACATTGATTGCAGATATCAGAAAGCAGAGTAAGTTGAAGATTAAATTGGAAGTACAGGAGGAATTTTTTAAGGTTTTTTTCCTATGGACAGTAAAAAAACCCCACAACTATAAGGATTCTGTGATGATTGTGGCAGTGTGATCTATTCTTTTCACTGCTAGTATGCTACCTTCTCTTAAGCATTCGATTAAGCTGAGTTTTCTCTAAACCACGACATGAAAAGGGCATTCTCATTTAGAGATCTGTAGCTTCTGTGCTGATCATACTGTCAAGTTCTGTCCTTATCCCTGATGACAAGATTGAGACAATGCTGATTTTGGACTGACTCTCACAGCTAGGCCAGCATTCATAGATGCATAAGGCCTCTGTAGCTAGGAGGTTCTTCCTAGGACTCTGGACTCCTTGAAAATCAGCATGCTGGTCTCTCGCACTGTTCTGTACGTCTTTGTCCCCCATCATACATGGAGATGACTATAGCCAGAAAATCCATACTTAGAGCCTATATATAGGTGAGCATACATATTTATCTTCATACTGTCTACCTATATATATAGTAAACAGAATCAGTAATATATGGAAAATTACGTGTTTAGAAGACTTTAGCTTTAATTTCTGCTCGTTTGTATGTGCTTTAGTACAAAGTTAGCAACACTTACTCACATGCGATAAGGACTGGTTCGCTATTGTTTTTAAAAGAGTATGCATATGGAATAGAAATTAAGCCAATAAGCAACAGCTCCCAGTAACAAATAAGAGCAACTTCCAGTAGAGTGGACAAATGCATACAATTTACTTAAGGTTCTTACAAATAGTTGCAGAAGCATATTTAACTAAGGTTTATATGATTTATGCAGATGAAATAAACCAGAAATCTTTGAATAGCAGTAAGACTATATCAGTGTTACTGTGTTCAGCTGTGGTGAGAGTGCTGCAGGAATACTTTGTCTGTTTCTGAGACTCAGCAGTATAGGCAGCTGTTTAAAAAAAATTTAAAAAAATTCAAAGTTTGAGAAGTAGGGCTGTAAGAACTGGGAATATAGACTGTAATTTAGCTAAATTAGTTTAAAGTCACTCTTTAAACTCGTATTTTTATGTACCTAAATCAGGGACAGAAATTTGATAATCAGTTACTCTACAGTCAGAATAAGGTTTAAAAAAATCCAATGGCTGCAGTGTTCAGGAAATGCATATGCTTTGCGAGAATGTTTAAAACCAAAGCAAAAACCTGAAGACAAAAAAACCCCCACCAAACCAAAACGATTAGACAATCTTGCTTAATTGCTTTTAAAAATATTATTTACATTAATAAATGTTTGTGGAACATAACAAAATTCACCCATATATAAATCTTACTTCATATGATGTTACATAAAATTGTATGTCCAAGCTTTTTAGCTGTTTGAGGTCTTGCTATTGCAAATGCTGTGGCAGTTTATATCAAGTCTAGTTAGCAGTTTCACCAAAGAGAGGATATAAATCTTTGTTCTCGTTTTAGAAACATTAATTATATGGGTTTTTTAAAATTCAGTCAGACCATTTAGTTTGCTTTAAGGCGTTGTGATTTTTGTTCTCTACTTTCATCCTCTTATTTTTGGTCATTCTTCCTACAAAGGGAAAGTTGAGAGAATCGTAGAACAGCCAAAGTAAATCTACTGTGACTTGAATTCAAGACTTAAAGGTAAAAATCTCTTACCTGGTCCCTCTGAAGTAGTAGTGCAGAAGATTTGGCTCTGGTTTCTCAAAAATGCAAGATCTCCCCTGCTTTGCTCCAGGTTGGTGTTTCAGTGACAGACTCCACTGTGGCAGGGAGCAGAGAGAGATGGTATGTTGAGGGACGTGTGTGTATATATAACAACAGAAGGCTTCAAAGCCAGCCAGACTCATGTTCATGCAGTGTTTTCCTCTTAGATCAGTGTGCAGACACTGTACCTACTGAAGGTTTACTTCAGTAGCTGGCTAAGCAGCTTAGGGGGCTGAGCTCCGCAGGGTTTAACACTACCTGCTCAGCCTTCCTCAGCCTTCTCTTTTCCTGGACACTGTGACATTGTTGCTAGGCGACACAGAAACAAGCCTTCATCGGATGGCAAAAAGCAGGTGACGGAGATAAAATTAGTAAGAGGGAAACTCCCCTATAAAAATTAAGTGATCTACAATAGCGCTTAGACCTGACATTGATGTCGGATCTTTCATCCATAGACCTTTAAAGTACCTACAATTCAGGCTCTTCTTCCCACACTGGGGGATAGCAAGGTGCTACATATTGTATAGCAATGCAAATTAAAAAGTCCAAGAGGAAGGACTACTTCCTTGGAGTTTCTGTAATGAAAAACTACTTAAATGCTGCCAGATGCAGGCGAAACGCTTTGTCAAGTGTTTGGTCATTTTAATCTCTAGTCACGAACTGACACCCCAGAGGTAATTGTAAGCTGAGTGGTTTGTACAAGCATTTTCTCCATATGATAATGATACAATATCGTTTACCCCACAAGTTTTATTTAGTCCTTCCTGTACCTTTCCCTCTCTCATTTTTTCTCCTAATTTTGCTGATTTACCCTAGTATAAATTAGACCAAACGTAGGGTTTTGTTTATTTTTTTTATTGGGGGTGGGGTTTTTTTTTGATTGGAGGGCAGGACTTGCTAACAGTGGCTTATGGGGTCTAGCCTGATACTAGGCAGGATCCAAATATCAGTGGGATGTTAAAAATAGTAAGACAAACTGCATAACCTCACAGATTTATAGGAAGTGTCAATATTTCAAAGTAGGTGAGAGGTGTGCCCCTCAGAACAAAGAATGTTTCGGGTTCCAGTTTTCAATTGAGAATGCATTTCCATTCTCAAACAGCTAACCTCAGTTAAAATATGCATCATTTTGTCTTCACAGT